CATGCCAGACACAATCGTCAGGCTGCCTGACGATTGCGTCTAGCATGAAACAGCTTGTCACCTCTGAGTGTTGACTTCGATGTTCACTTATTGATATACAATATATATAAGCTTGTCAAATACACAGGACTAGAGAATGTAAGTGTTTGGTCATTCTTTATACTTGTGGAAATAAAAAAATCTCTTACTGGGCTGAGAGAGGTCACTCAAGTGCAATATTTAAGTTCCTTTGTTCATATACATTTCATGCATGTTATAATCTTTCATAATTATGCTGTCCAAATTATTAAAAAAAAAAAAAAGAAGCATCCAAAATATTAGCTATTGCAATGTATTGCATTTACCATTTATTAAAGTATTTTGATAATGTTACTTTTTCTGAAATTGTCTTTCTTTTTTTCTTTTTTTCTTTTTTTTTTTTTGTAAAAAGATGCTGCTGCTGCTACTGTTGGCTTATATTAATAATAATAATAATGACAATAATAATGACAATAATGATGTTAATTGTTATATGTCTTGTGTTGTGGAATGATTTCTTAAACCAAGAGCACTGCCGTGACCTTTTTTTGTACCCAACATTTTTGCTGTGTGTAAAACAGAAATTCTCTGTTGGGAAACACGCATACACACATGTGCGCACATACACACATGTACACACGTACACACACATCTGACATGTCCAGTTGATTGACCAGTGTTTAATTCATGTCCTTTCCTCCCTTTCACCTCCATTAGCACAGTCATCACTATCACCAGTGCATCTGTCTGTCTGTCTGTTTTATCTCCTGTGTAACTTTTTTGCCAATTGTTTGACTCTTTAAAGAATGCAATTAAATTTTGTTCTTTGTTGTTCTTAATCGTTCAGGTAAAACAACATTTTACAGGTTGCCTAATGCAGATGTTCTGACCTCAGAGATACACTCCGATTTTAACTTTTAAGAATTTAAAAAAATTAATGTAATAATATATCCTTTAACCTGTAGGATGTGGGGTAAATTTCTCAAATTTATTTTGAAGGTAAAGGGACTTCAATTCTTGGAAATGCAATAACTTTTTAATAAATGATACAGTTTCATAAAATTAAAATGTTCATAGACGTCCTTATTCTGTAAATCATCAATAAAAATGTTAAAACATATGCAAAATTATTTCCAATGTTGTAGATGTATTATTAATATTGACAACTTCAGAAAAATCTAAAATAGATTTTAAAATGAAATGGTGATTCGTTGATGTTCTTTATTAGAAAAGAAATTGCAGTTTACAAAATAATTATTAGACAAGGATTTTCCCTCCTTTTAAAAGAGTTGGTATTCCTTTGCAAAGTTCTATAATAGGGGACTGCAGAAATGTTTTCAGCTTGTCCCAGAAGGGAAAGATGGAGCCATGAAACATTTGCTATCCCACGTATTCACCCCAAAGTTTCTCAAGTTTAAGCCTTTAAAAAAAAAAGTCACTGAAATACTACTCTTACTGATAACATCTATGAATCATTTGGAATTGTTTATGGCTATGTCACATTGAAACACCTATTCTCATATGATCACTGAAGTTAAGAAATATCGAACCTGGTCAGTACCTAGATGGGTTACCGCTTGAAAATACCAGTAAGGTTTAATATGTGGGTGATCTTTTTTTTTTTTTTCTTTTTTTTTTTTGTGGTTTTTGATAACGGCTCGGAATTGTTAATTGGGGTTGGGGGGGGTGCTGACTTCCAATTCCAGTTGGGTTCTTTAGATTCACTTATGTGTAAATACCCTTGGGAAAAATATAAATCCACCTCTTCTCCCTCAACTATGGGTTAATTAGTAAGGCTTATATCATTAAATCATTATTTCAAAAAATATTTTCTGGCTTTAAATAACCTGTAATGAGTTGATAAGCCATAGAAATCGAATCAATTATTTAAAATTCTTTTACTGTTTGAAACTACTTTTTAAGGTTATGAAATAAAATAGATGAAGTAAGGTTAAGTCGTCTTTGCATCACATCCCAAATTTTTCATTGTCTTAGCATTCTTGTAAGCATATACATTGTCCTCTAAAGAGAGAAAACCTTTTCTGTAGCTTTCTTTTAGCTCTTTATTTTTTTATTTTTTTTTTTTTTGGTGATTCTTTTAATCAAAAAAGCTCTATTTTGCATAAACTATGGCCCATCTGAAGATAGTTGTGAGAATTAAATTCAAAAACTGACAATGACATTTCTTGATTTCTTTGGAGAACCTGAATGTTGCCATTGCATGAACGGATCCTGGTAATATAGTCACATTTACTCTATAGTGACAAGTCCTTTGAAACCAACCGCCCATCCATGCAACAAATTGTACTGGCCTGACCTAAAAATCTCCATGTTCTAATTTGGCATACCATTTTGTCGCAGTTGTGTATGATAGGCATTTTTCATCTGATATTTGTTTCGTATAGTTAAAGATTTCTTTTGGAAGAACAAGATCTTCATGATGATTCAGTTCAACACTTGAAGATTACACATTTTTCATTGACATAGTTAATTCAGTAATTTAAAACATTTTTAAAAAAAACAGTACAATTGATCCTGTAAATAAGCACTTGAAAACAAAGAACACTCTTTGGCTTCGAGGCTAAAATAATATTCAGATTTTGGGAAGAGGGATTGGGTTGAGAACTTTTCAGCACCCTCGTAATTAGTATTGGATTCAATTTTCATGCACTGCCTGTCTTGGTAAAGTATAAATCTTCGTTACACTATTTAAATTGTTTGGACTGTTGTTCTCATCTTTATTGCTATATTCATGACGTTTTGGCCATTGTACATGCCAGCCTTCTTCAGGTCATATTTGTTGGAATTTTGAACCAAACCCTTTTAGTCCAAAGGAGTTGGTTGTTCTAATTCCACATGCCATGCCTTTGGATATCTCAGTTTTAGTTAATTCCCTTGATAACCCAACTCTCCAAGTTTTTGTTTTCAAAATTAAACTCATAACTCTGGATTAAGTCACTTTTGCATCAAAAGCTGGCCAAGCATAGACATGAATACAATGTGGGAACCAGTAATACAGTGAGCTAGAGAAAAATAACAAAAAAAAAAAAAAAAAATGGTAATATGAACTCTGGTCAGGAATGGTTTTGTAAGTCCCCAAAATTCATCATTGATTGATCCAAAAGTTAAAAGGTTCTGTTTGAAGTTCCCTGAAAGTTATCAGGATTAACAAGAACTTGATGAATGTTGGGCAAAATGATTGAAATATTGTTATTATAACAGCAAAGACAGAAATTATTTATTTCTAATAGAATTACTGGGTTTTTTTTTTTCAATCCTTTTTTTTTTTTTTTTAGAGGAATCTGAAAAGAAAGGAGTGAATAAAATGTCAGTCATATTTAAATAATTTTGCAATTGCAATCTACATTGAAAATATCAAAGTTTGTTGTAAGTTTTCTTGCTGATGTTAAATACTTTCTCAATATTAAACTAAAGGTAAAAAAAAACTAAGATTACAATCATCCGTTTTGTCCCCATACTTAAAAAGTTATATAAAGAAGTGTTGACACTGATGTCCTCACAGTGGCAACAATCTGTTTCATGCTTGAATACAATCTTTAGGCCTGAAGTGTCCACATTTTTATCTACACACTCTATCTCAGATATTTAGTACTTTTACCTTATAAATACAGCATATCTTAAAACGTATATATATATATATATATATATATATGCTTTTTTTTTAAAAAGAAAAAAAAATAGGAAATGCTAAACAGTGGATTCTAGTCTGTCCTTTCTCTTTATTTTATTTATATATATATATATATATATATATATATATATATATATATATATATATAAAGCTCTTTAGTATTATAGAACACGATTGGTCTAGGAGATGGAAAACTCTTACACGAAAAAGCCTGCTGAGGTCTATTGTCTGTTTGTCTGTGGCATTTATTTGCACCAACTAAGTGTATCAATAGTTCCGAAAAGTGAGGATGGTTCTGCACAAGCCTTCACCACTTTAATCAAATCACTTGTGTGGGTTTTCTGGCAGTTTACCTTGATTTCTTAAATGCCACTAAAGATTATTGTATAAAATTTCATAACTGAATCAATAAGCTTTCAGATCCTCATACGTTGAAACTGACGGATATATATATATATATATATATATATATATATATATATATATATATATATTATATGTTTTGATTAAATTGAAGAATGAAAAGAAAGATTTAAAATCAGAATTTTCAGACACGCCTGTGTCCTTTTCAATGAGATAAGAAATAAACACAGAAGTAGACTCACTCTTCCAGGGAATGTTGTTGTTTTTGTTCATTGGCGGGGGGGGGGACTCCCTGTGGAAACTATCTTCTGATGTATAAAAGGGACATTCCTTGCCATATCTTTAAGTTTCATCAGTCTGACCAAGAAGGAATCCTCATCCCTAAAATTTGGCTTGGTTAGATTTTGGGAAGTAAAAGTACTTTTTCAGTGTGGGCAAGGCAAATCTGGTAGTGAGTTTGATCCTCATAAGTTGCCCTTAGACAATATTCAACATGAAGTAAATCAACAAGCCTAGATATATCATAAAATTAACATAATCAAAATGTATCATATATGAAATATTTTTAATACAAATATAAGCAAGCAAAAGTAATTTTTCTTTTATAATATGGAAGTCAGTTTCTGTTTTCTGGTATTTTTTTTTTTTTTTTGTGGTCTGGCAATACCCAGATTTCATCACCTCTGCTGGATTAAAATAATGGCTTTCCAATATAATTATGATAGGAAATATATAGAAAAAATATTCACTAAGCACATAGAAGCCAGTCTCTTTGATGTCATTGACTTAATTGGTTACCTTTTATTATTTTTTTTTATTTTTTTTTTTTTTAAATATTTTTGAAGCTTATTGAAAAAATTAAGGAAACTTGCATAGTCCACAACCTTCCTGTCTCTAACATTGTTTTTAATGCCAAAATTTTGTTTTTGCAAAAGAAAAAAAAAATGTTTATTTTTCAACCTTTCAGAATGACTTGAAAGGCAGTAAACCTTTGCAGGTATGTAAAAAAAAAAAAAAAAAAACCAAAAAAACCCCCAAAGAACTCACCTCCCCTGGGGGGGGGGGAGGATTTTGCTAATGTAGTATCTTGTTTCTCTTCCTCTCTAATTTTTTCTTGCCTCTTCCTACTTACTCTCTTTTACTCTCTTTTCTCGTTTCCCTGCCAATGAATGTTGAGTTCTAGCCATGTCTCCTATACACATACCCTGCCATTCAGATTGATTTGAGATGATGTCTTTGAGCCTATCCTCCCCCACCTCTCTCTTTCTTTTTTTAAATAATTGATAGAATTTCTCTTTAATTTTTAACTGTATATCAGTTGAGAAGGTATATTTTTCTAATTCTATCATGGTCTCAGATAACATTCAAATCAAGGCATGAACTAGCTACTGGGAAATACCTTTCTTGGTTTGGGTCTTTTAGAAACTGAACTGCCTAAGTTGAACCATTCCTTTCAAATCTTAAATTCTCAAAGGCTATTTTCACTGATATGTATTTTCTCTGCCTTAAATATTTCTAAAAGCAAAGGCTGCTCTGGTTGAATTTATTGCTTATCTATCTCTGTCTGTTTTACCTTTTTTTTCTTTCTTTTTCTCTGTGTGTCCTTGTTTGCTTGCTGCTTTCTGTATTTTTACCTTAAATAATTTTCTTCACTTTTTGTACATTTATAAGTGTGTGTGTGTATATATGTTCTACTTACAACGGGTACAAACTTATATTCAAATGGGAATCATGAGAAATTAAAATTCTTTTTGTTTACATTATTGTTTATATTTAGGCTATTGTCCTCATCTTTTATTTTTGTTATCCCCACAGTGTTTCAACTATTCTGTTCTCTGCTCTTCTTCAAGTGCTTGTCAATCAGTTCAATTTCAAATTGAATTCATTTAATCTACAGGGTTTGATAGTTTTTGTTCTGCTGCTAGGGATATGTAATCTTTTTTTTTTTTTAATACTGCTCAATTGTTGCCAGTTGTATTTCCACTAGTCTATATTACCTGCTTCAGGGATTGAACTCACAATTATTTTACCACCAAAGTCTTGAAGCAGGACATTAATCTCCTAGGCTATTATTCAGTGGGACAATTCCTTGAAGGTTATTCAGATTGAGAGAGAGCACAATGGCTGAAACATCATAACAACAACAAAGATGAGGACCTTAGTCTGAATGTAAATAATATAATTAATGATGATGATTCATCTTGGTAAATCAAACAAATTCTTTTTGGTTTGGAAATGCAATGAAAAAAAAACAAAAAAACTCAAGGGTAAAAATGATTCAAATTGAATGGTTTTGGCATCATTTAAAATCCTGTCGACAAATTAATGAAATATTTTGCATGAAACTAATGTATTTTTATCTGGAATTTGTAGTTAGTGATGAATTTGAAATCTTTTTTCATTGAAGATGTCAGCAAATTGCCCGTTGAAGCATTGTTTCTTTATTCCAAGACTGAGTGACTATGACTATGAAGTTATCTTTGTACCAATTTTATTGATGGTAGGATTAACATAATGGTGTATTTATAGGGGGCCTGGTTGGGATTATTGTGTGAGACTGGTGTGCTGCTCTACATAAATGAAAAAGAGTGCAAATTGTGCAGCAGAATAAGTGTTGTATGTGGGGGGGGGGTCTCTCACTTTTATTGTTCTTTTGATCAATGAGGTGAAAATTTGTATTATTCTCTAATTCTATATTTCTCTGAGGAAGTCACAAATAGATTATGACTACTTTCGAAACACTCCTCAAGGTTGTTTGGAAAAAGGTGTGTTTTGTTTTTTTTTTTTTTTTTTTTTTTTTTTTTTTAACAAAGATTAAAATTTCTTTAGGGATCCCTTAGTTAAGTTTAAGACTTTTCAGCATCCTCTTCTGTTTTTGTGTTTATACACCCTCTGAAGAGTGGACAGACTCTGCCTACAAAAGTCTGAGTGCATCAATCAGCTAAGTGGAAAACTTTTACTTATATTAATTCTATAATCAATACCAAAATCTGCTACTCTGTTTCATGTATTAACAATCATCAGGTGGAACTACGGAAGCAATCTATCGTTTAACTTATATACTCCAGAGGTGTTATTACATGAAACTCTCAGTAACGGATTTTGGTATTGATATCATATTATATTTAGGTTCTGTCGACTTTGGCATTGAGCCCTCACAGCTTATTTTATATTTTAAGTTTAGCCTTTTTTTCTTATATATATATATATATCTGCACACACAGACGTTCAAAGTGCAATGTAGTTTCATGGTTCTTCCAACTCATCAGGCATGAACTATTACAGTTGATTTTTTTTTTTTTTAAATTACTGGGTCTCATGAGAGGAACACTAAATTAAACACAGATCCATTAAAGTTAACTATATTTATAATAATCTTCGATTACACAGCAGAAAATTTAATGAATGCAATTGCAAAATTACTTGAATATTACTTTTTATTTTATTTTAATAACAACCCTAGTTTATATCTGTGCATACAACCAAATCTTGACCAATTTTATCATTGTAATATTTTTACATTATATCAAGTATTAAGAATATAGTAACTACGGTCTGCAAATTGGAGGAGAGAGTTATCAGTGATAAAGTTCTGACTTCGAATCTGCAGTTATCTCCCTTTAACCTTGTCTCTGTTTTTTTTAATGTACTTTTTATCACATAAAATTTGAGGTGTGAGCACATTTTCATTCTGGAAATGTGGCCTAAAGAAAAAAAAAAGTTTGAGAATCATTGATGTAGGGAGATTCATTTCAGAAAGTGTTAAAAATTTTGAAGAGCTTAATATTTCAGATAAAACACTATTTTCATTATAAAGTCAAATTAATCATTAATCATATTTACTCCTATAAACATAGTGTTCAAATCTGGATTTGAGGGTGGGTAGACTTTTAATTCATTTTAGCTTTGCTGTAACTCTATAATTGTGTACTTGTAAAACTTTTGGTAATTAAGTTATCATATTAATAAAAATAGAGAATCAATTTTATGTTATTAGTAGTAGTAAAAACAGCTCCTAAGATCTACAATGTTGAAGAAATAGGTTGATGGCCATGAAGTGATAGACTATTTTGACTCTGATTGCAGTACAAATCTGACCACTCATTTTATCCTCAGTAACAAATCTAACCCCTTGTTTTATCCCCAATAAGAAACCTGACCTCTCATTTTATACCCAGTAATGAGGCAATGAACAGCTGAGAATTATGTAAGAGGTACCATCTTTATTCACTGGGATTAATAAGCATATAGTGTTTGCATTGTTGTTTTTGATTCGCTACATGTGACTTTCTTCAATACATCACCATCCATAACTGCTAGGGAATATTTAAGGTTGACTGACAAAACAAATGATATTATGAGATAAATAACAATTTTACTGTCTGTAGAATCTATCTTTGCATTTTATGCCATATATGGAGACTAAAATGTTAAAACCTGCCTTGTTGGCAGACCCTCAAATATGCCAATTGCACCCTCACCCTCAGATATGTAAGACTCCTCACACCACAACTATAACACAAAAAGTGCTAATATCTACTAAGTAAATACTTATAGCTCAGAATTGTTAATCAGAGAGCTAAGTTCCAATTCCAGTTAGGTTTGTTATATTCACTTTTGTGTAAATACTCTTGTGAAAAGTATGAATCCATCTCTTCTCTTCTCCCATTTATGGGTTAATTAGTAAGACATTATCTGGAAAAAAAAAAAAAAGATTCTTACAATCTAAAAATATTTTCTGGCTTTAAATATCCTGCAAAGTGTTGATAAGTCATAGAAAACAAATTAATCAACAAAGGTAAACAACCAAAATTTACCTAACCCTGAACCAAGTAAATTTTTATAGTCTCAAAGTGAAGTGACTAATACTTACCCATGTGCAGACCAAGTAATGTTAAGACTCAAAAAAAAAAAAAAAAAAGTACATGGCCAATATTGACCTGTCCATAAAGTAAATTCTTACAGCCTCAAATATAATAATAAAAAAAGACTAATTTTGGCACTAAATAACCCAACAGGGTTTGATATGTAAAAATCAATGAACCAAACAAAAGTATTCTTTTCTTTGTTAGGCACTTAAACTTGTGAGTTAATAATACAAGCTTAATAGATTAAACTAAATGGGAAAAAAAAAAAAAAATTTTTTTCTTCAAGGATGCAGAATTGATGTAGAAAGGTGTGGGTAAAATTGTAAACTAATAATGAAAAAAAAGCAGTGTAAATGTTAAATGGAGAGAGAACAAGGAATTTACAATTACTTGATTCTTCTGTTAAATTTGTTTGCTAAAAGTGAGGAGGAGGAGGATGACGACGACAACAACAAAAACGACGAGGCTGCAGTTGATGACATTGTGCTTTTATCATTATACATTTTTCAAGAAAAATTTTCTTACAATGTTTCACATTCACTTTTTTTATTACCTAATTTGTGATGACAGAAACTTTACTATATAAAAACCTGACATATTCTCCGAACAACAAGATAAAAATTATTTTCAAACTGATTTTCTTTATTTTTGCTTAAATAAAAATATAAACAAAAAATAACCCGATGAATTATTATAGTTTAAAAAAAAAAAAAAAAAATAATAATAATGTTGATGTCTGGATATTTTTGACTGTGTCTATAGGACAACTGTGATCATGACTCCACCCAAGCACTTGGCAGAGAAGTGGTATGTTGAATTTTCCACTTTCCAAAAAGATGGGCGGGGTGGTGACAGCTTTTTGCCTCAAAATTTTTAAGACTTACTTTGCAATGCTTCTTGTGAAATCTTTCATCTTCTTTTGCATGCTCAGCAAAAATTCCTCTATTTTTATTTGATATATTTTTTACAATTTTATTTTTGCTATTATCAGATTAGAATTGTTATAAAAAATTAATTTTTGATTAGGTTTTCTTGTTACAAATATAAATCTATTAAATGATATAATCTTATATTTAAAAAAAAATGTATTTTAATGAATTTTTACTAATTTATATTAATATTTTTTAAT